GGAGATGTATGTGGGTCAACACACCAACCATGTGGACCACTTCATTATTTTCTGGTATTAATTGATATTTTTACTAGTTTGTCACATGTTTGCCTACTTTCCAATAGGAATATAGCTTTTGCTATACTACTTGCTCAAATCATAAAATTACAAGCACAATGCTCTGATTACTCAATCAAGACTATTCGTCTTAACAATGCTGATGAATTTAGATCTTGCATGTCAATTGGGATCGTTGTTGAACATTCGGTTACGCATGTCTATACACAAAATGGTTTAGCGAAGTCATTTGTAAACGTCTACAACTTATTGTTAGACATTACTTTAACGCCCCGAAAATTTAAGAATAAAATTTTATTTGTTTTATATAGTATATTTTTAATATTTTGAAAAAAAATGAAGACTAAAATAAAATATATTTTAAATTCCTATCTTATTTGAGCCAAATAGTTATCTTTAGGTAGAGTGATAAATGTTGATTTTGATAATGATAATCTTTTTGCGATTTACATAAAGTTTGATTGCAATCTTAATTTGATAAAGTTTAAAAGTAATCATAATTCTATTTAAAAAAAAAACAATTCTTATCCAAATTCCTTATATACATCATTTTAATTTTAGTTGTATACAAATTCAATTGAGAATTTCAACTATAAATACCGTAAGAATTCTCATTATTTCACTACAAAAAATAAATAGAGCCACAGTAGAGAGAGAATGATAGGAAAAATTATAGAAAAATAGAAGATCTTTTACGTGCAAGATTTTATTCTTTTCAACATTTCAAAATCAATGTAAGATACTTCTGTACAAGTGATTTGTTTTCTTATACTTTTATATTCAGAAATTTATACATGAATTGTCAGAGGGCCTTCGGGTTCTTTATTAAGAAATAAGAAATCCTACGAGAATTTAAAATGACTTAAAATGGGTGTGTCGCTTGGTCGCTGATATACTCCATAAGAGAAGAGTGATGTGAAACGTTTATTTTATTATATATAATTGTGTATGAAAACTGCACGTATCTTACTACGTATTTTTAAATACCCACTCTTACAAAATTTTACAAGCTAGTTCGGGTAAATTGGAACAGTGGCGGGATGGTAATGCGACTGTCAAGAGGAATCGAAGAGATAAAATATTAAGTTTATTTTTTTCTCCTTTAAATAATTAGCCAGTTTAATTTGTTTAAAGACAATTATTTAATTTGTGATGGATATTCCATTTATTTTTATTTAAAGAATATTATTTTATCGTTCCACGAAAATTGAATTTTTGGCAGCACTATAGTGTTTGTGAAATTTTTTGGACGTTACAGTTTGGTATCAGAGCCAATGTTTTGCTTTCTTGTAGATTTTGCAGTAAAAAAATAGAGAGAAAAAAAGGGAAAAAAAATGAAAAAATGGGGTATTTTCATAAACTTTAAGAGTTTAAAGATAATGTAAAATTTTTAAAATTTAAATAGACATGGTTATAAAGAATCCTTGGCACGTGGCGCTCGCTATTCGACACTCTACAATCGATCCCAATATATAAAATGAAATGTCATTCTTTTATCATGATTATGAGTTTTCTTGATTTATGTTATGATATATTGTAATTATGTTAATGATCAAGTATTTAGAACTTTTCAAGTAGTTGAGGTAATTTCAATGACGAAATTTTTTAAAGATGGGAGATTTTAACGCCCCGAAAATTTAGAATAAAATTTTATTTGTTTTTGTATAGTATATTTTTAATATTTTGAGAAAAAGGACTAAAATGAAATATTTTTAAATTCCTATCTTATTTGAGCCAAATAATTATGTATAGATAGAGTGATAAATGTTGATTTTGATAAATATAATCTATTTGTGAATTTGATAGAGCTTGATTGTAATCTTAATTTGATAAAATTTAAAAGTAATCATAATTTTGGTTTTTTTTAAAATCAGTTTTTATCCAAATTCCTTATATACAT